GGACCCCCAATAAACCCTTTGCTGTTGCATGAGACAGTCTCTTGGTGGTCTTTTCCTCCGACGTTCGCCCGACCTTTTCACCAGGCCCTGTCTTAAACCTAAGAGTTGACACATTGGTGGAAATAGCCAGACATTCTCAATGTCTTTGTGATTCCTTTTTAAAATCCCCTTTCGTGCATGTGATAATGTAGAGCAGATGCCGAAACACTGCTCTAGTGGTTGAATGAGGAAGGAGAAGGAAGGACCCGACATTGGGGCCGAGGATTCTTTCCCTCTGTTCGGATAGCCCTTGTTGAAAGGTGGATCAAGACTGTTACCCACAGTTTTGTCTTCATTATTGCACCTGGCTTTAGGATCCAAAAAAAAAAAAAAAAGGAAAGGAAAAATAATATATGTTTTTGCCAAGTTGTGCCTTCCTTCTGGAACTGTAAGTGAACACAGTCATAGGGCCTCTTTACACGGTGACATGGATATTGTTAGGGAGAACACCCCAGTTGCTCTCACTGCTGAGCTCACAGTGCCTATTAAATGTGTGACCAATGGAGAAACCCCTGTGGGACCTGCTGATGCTGTTTGTTGCAAAATAAACTTTGAATGTTTTTTTTTTTTTCCACTTACCAGGTATGTATGTATTCTGATAGTTTCAGTTCCAAACCTGAGAATTTGACCATCATTTTCAGCTGTCTTGTTGTGACCTTCTGTTTCCTAAAGATACACATCTGGTTACATCCTCACTGGACCTGCTTCCTGGGCATTCATGAGACCTTTCTACCTGCGGTTTTTAACCTCACCGCCACTTCTTCTTCATCTTCTTCTTCTTCTTTTTTTTTTTTTTTGGTACTTAGGGTGTACTGTGCACTTAATTTAGGTATTCCTTTAAGTGTTCTTGCGATGATTAAACTATATTAAAAGGGAATGGAACCGGGTGTGGTGCTGCACACCTATAATGCCAGCACTTCTGGAGGATGGCACAGGAGTTCAAGGCCAGCCTCAGCAAATTATTTATTTATTTTTTAGTTATAGTTGGACACAATACCTTTATTTTATTCATTTATTTTTATGTGGTGCTGAGGATCAAACCCAGGGCCTTGCACATGCTAGGGGAGTGCTCTACCACTGATCCACAACCCCAGTTCCAGCAGTTTARCTCAGCAACTTAGTGAGACTCATATCTCAATAAATTAAAAGGGCAGGTGATGTGGCTCAGTGGTAAAGCACCCCTAGGTTCAATGCCAGTACAAAAAAAAAAAAAAGAGTTTGTGCTGAGAGTCACACAGGAGGGAGTATTTAGTGCAAGGCAAGGTTCTCAGGGTGGGGGAGAACCTATTTTCCCAGTCATGTTTTTAGATGTCTTCCCAAAATCCAACCCATTTCTGGCTAATTCTTTTAAAATATCTGAATTCCCTACGTGACTCCGTGGCTGGATTCTCTGGGCAGAATAGCTTGCTTCGTGGGATCTCAGGTTACCTTGCATGCAAAGCAGATCTAACACTGGGTGCATGGAGTTAAGAGTGAGACTGTGTAAGAACTGTTCAGAATTTGCTCCAGCTCTGGATCAAATGGATATCTCTGGTACTGATGGGGGAGGTCACAGGTTAGACGGCTGCTTGCAATGGACACCACCTTTACCTTAAATGTGGTCCAAGCTTATGAACATTCATTTCCTGGCATATCTAATTGTCTCCTGATGGTTGGCTTTAAAAATACAAAATTGAATGGCCAAGCATGGTGGCGCATGCCTATAATCCCAGTGGCATGGGAGGCTTATACGGGAGGATCATGAGCCAGCTTCAGCAATAGTAAGACACTAATCAACTCAGTGAGACCTTGTCTCTAAATAAAATGCAAACTAGGGGCTTATGATGTGGCTCTGTGGTTGAGTGTCCCCGAGTACAATCCCCAGTACCAAAATAAATAAATAAATAAAGCAAAAAAGTCTCAGGGGCCAGGCATGGTGGGAGGCTGAGGCAGGAAAATTGCAAGTATAGGGAGGTCCTAAGCCATTTACCAAGACCTGCTAAGAAAAAAAAAAAAGGGACAGAGATAGAATGTGGTTGGGTGGTTAAACAACCCTGGGTTCAATCCCCAGTACCCACTACAGAAACAAAAGCAGCAGCATACGGGTGTAGCTCAGTGGTAAAGCATTCAGGTTCAGGTAACTAGGAATATTGATTTGAATTCAAAAACAGGCAAAACATGGACAGTATCCACAGGGTAGATAATGAGCTATATTTGGGGGGAATTCATTTGCATTTCTATAAACAATCATTTGCATTACTGTCAATTTTCTGCAACTTACATAGTTGCAAAATAGCCCAAAGTTGGCGAAGGACAATGCTAACCATGAGGAGTCCTTGTCATCAGGTCCTTGTCACTTTTCAAGGTCATTTACAGCTCCTCTAAGAAGCAGGGTTTGTTTCTTATTAACTGTCTCTCCCACCTGGAACATTCTAAGACCTGAGTGATGGCCTCTTCTGTTGGTTTTCTCCTGGTGCTGATTTGGCATGCAAAAGGCCCAGGGTTCCATCCCCACCCCACCCCCAACAAACACACACACACACACACACACACACACACACACACACACACGTTTCCTAGCTCTATATGTTGAATGTAGAAAGCTGTTAACCTAAGGTGTTCTTAGTGAGGTGGTGAACAGGATTACCAAGTGTTCAGAGACAAAGTTTTAAAAATTCTTTAACATTGCCTATGGCTCTGTGATTCTCAAGCCAGGGACAATTTTTCCCCCACCTGATGTTTTACAATGTTTGAACACATTTGTGGTGATCACACTGGCACAGGGCTGCCACTCGCATTGAGTAACACCTTTCCATGCAGGATGGTTGTCTAACAGAGACACTCAGCCCAATGTCAATGCTGCCAAGGCAGAGAAGCCACTCTGGGGAATACCTAGAGTGTCCCTTCAGAGATAATTCATTCAGGCAGAAGATTCTATGCTCCAAGAGAACTTCATGTCCTTTCTCCCCAGCCTTTACTCCTTGCCAGCTTACCACCAAGCACCACCTCCTTAAGGCAGATCGAAGCAGCCACCATCCAGCATGGAGGTCTGTGAACTAAGGCTTTATGAGGTCAGAAAGGAGAGTCTCAGGGATATTCCGGCCCATACTTGACATCATGGGGTATGTTGTGTGAAGTCTATGGACCAGTTTCTTTGGTTTCTGGAAAGCAAAATTCCTAGTCCTTTTCATTTTTTTTTTTTTAAATTTTGAAACAGTTCTAGATAAATTGCCCAGTCTGGTCTCAAAACTTGAGAATGTCCTGCTTCAGTCTCCTGAGTAAACTGGGATTAGTGTGCACCACCTGCCTGCCTAGRCTGGCTTATCTTTCAGAGACCTTTCCAGGAGTCTAGGAGTTAGAC